CCTAATTTAGGGTGAGAGGGTTATTTGTTATTCTTGTAAACTTGTAATCTTGTTTTCAAAGAGAAAGTAAAGAATAGCAGTTATAACCAATTCTTGTGTTCTTCTTCTTCCTTGTTCTTTATTCTTCCCAAATACTATACTTTGTTATTGGCATTGAATTCACAACAAATTGGTGCGGTGAGCGTGGAGAAGATGCCTTCAACAAAGTATGAGATCGAAAAGTTCACCGGAGTGAATGATTTCGGTCTATGGCGCTTGAAGATGAAAGCTCTACTGGTTCAGCAGGGTTGTTTGGAAGCGTTGAAGGGAGCGACGGCGATGGACGTTGCGCTAACAGAAAGAGAGAAGACGGCCATGATCGAGAAAGCACACAGCGCAATTTTGTTGAGCCTTGGTGATAAGGTTCTTCGACAGGTATCAAAGGAGACGACGGCATCAGGGTTATGGGTGAAACTTGAAAGTTTGTATATGACCAAATCTCTGGTAAATCGACTCTACCTGAAGCAAGCTTTGTATTCATTCAAGATGATCGAAGACAAAGTGTTGGCTGAGCAGTTGGATATGTTCAACAAGCTGATTCTTGATCTTGAAAATATTGATGTAAAGATTGATGATGAAGATCAAGCGTTGTTATTGTTGTGCGCTTTGCCCAGATCACATGCTCACTTCAAAGAAACCCTCTTGTATGGAAGAGAGTCCCAGACCTTTGAAGAAGTTCAATCAGCCTTGTACTCTAAGGACTTGAACGAACGTAAGGAGCATAAACCTTCGACGGTTGGTGAAGGTTTGGCTGTTAAAGGAAAATTCGACAAGAAGAAAGGTAAAAATCAGTCGAAGTCTTATAGTGGTGACACATCTGGTATTAGATGCTATCACTGTAAGAAAGTAGGTCACACAAGAAAGGTGTGCCCTGAACGCCTGAAAGATCATGGAGGTAAGGATAATGGCAATGCAGCTATTGTCCAAGATGATTTCGAATCATCTGATGTTCTTGTGGTTTCAAGCAAAAACTCATCGAAGGAATGGATTATGGACTCTGGATGCACTTGGCACATGACTCCAAACAGAGACTTGTTCGAGGAATTATGTGATCAAGATGGTGGATCGGTATTGCTGGGAAACAACAAAGCTTGCAAGATTGCAGGCGTTGGATCTGTGAGATTCAAGCTCCATGATGAGTCAATAAGATTGTTGACTGAAGTCAGGTATGTACCTGATTTGAAGAGAAATTTGATTTCTCTTGGTGAATTCGACAAGAAAGGATATGTTTTTCAAGGAGAGAAAAGTATCCTGAGAGTCATGAAAGGGTCGAAGGAAGTCTTGAGAGGCGTGAAGAAACAAGGCTTGTATACCCTTGAGGCTGAAGTTGTAAGTGGTTCGACAAATGTTGCATCCACGAAACCGTTGTCGAAGACAGAAATTTGGCACATGAGATTGGGCCATGTCAGTGAAAGGGGTCTGGTCGAATTAGGGAAACAAAATCTGCTTGGTGGAGATAAAGTCGAAAAGCTGAAGTTTTGTGAACCCTGTGTACTTGGAAAATCCTGTAGAATGAAGTTCAACAAAGGCAAACAAAGAACACATGGATCCCTTGATTACATCCATGCTGATCTTTGGGGGCCTGCAAGGTGTCCATCACATTCAGGAGCAAAGTATTTTCTATCCATAGTAGATGACTATTCCAGAAAGTTATGGGTATTCATCCAGAAGACTAAGGATGAAACTTTTGAGAATTTCAAAAGTTGGAAGACTCTTGTCGAAAATCAAACTGGCAGAAAGGTAAAAAGGTTGAGAACCGACAATGGCCTTGAGTTTTGCAATGAGGCGTTCGACAGTTTTTGTGTTGCCTCTGGTATTGCAAGGCACAGAACTACCGCAGGTACTCCACAACAAAATGGTTTGGCTGAAAGGTTTAATCGAACTATTTTGGAGAGAGTTAGATGCATGTTGACTAGTGCGGGATTAAAGAAGGTGTTTTGGGCTGAGGCTGTTTCGACAGCAGCATATCTGATAAACAAATGTCCTTCGACAGCGTTAGATATGAAGACACCTGAAGAAGTTTGGTCGGGACATCCACCAGATCTCGACAAACTAAGAGTATTTGGCTGTGTAGCCTATGCTCACATTAGGCAAGACAAGGTCGAACCTAGAGCTCTGAAATGCATGTTTATGGGATACCCTGAAGGAGTAAAAGCTTATAGGCTATGGTGCCTAGAGCCAGGTCACAGGAGGTGTATCACCAGTCGAGATGTAGTTTTCAATGAAACTGAAATGGCTTTCAAGAAAACTGATGATGTTGACGAAGAGCTGGAACAGGTAGAGATTCCTGTTGAGGTGGAGCATGTTGATGCTGAAATGCGTATCCCAGATGAAGTCGAAGAAGAAACAGAATATTCTGATGATGTTGAGGAAACTGTTGATGACTACCTATTGTCGAGAGATAGGCAAAGAAGAGTCATAAAACCACCTCAGAGACTTGGATATGCAGATCTTGTAGCTTATGCCTTAATCTCTGCAAGTGAAGTTCTAGACGAAGAACCTAGAGATTATAAGGAAGCTATAAGGAGTCGAATGAAGACTGAATGGCTAAAGGCCATGCATGATGAGATGAAATCTCTTCATGATAATCACACTTGGGAACTTATCAAGAAACCTGTTGGGGCAAGGTTAGTCAGCTGTAAGTGGATTTTCAAAGTTAAGGAAGGAATTGAAGGAGTAATGTCGAAGAGGTACAAGGCAAGATTAGTCGCAAGGGGTTTCACTCAGAAAGAAGGTGTCGACTTCAATGATGTATTTTCCCCTGTTGTGAAGCACAGATCCATTCGAATGTTGCTTGCCATGGTGGCTCAGTTCGACGTTGAACTGGAACAAATGGATGTGAAGACTGCGTTCTTGTATGGTGACTTAGACGAAACAATCCTGATGAGGCAACCTGAAGGGTATGTCGAAAAGGGGAAAGAAGATTATGTGTGCAAACTGAAGAAATCTTTATATGGACTTAAACAATCTCCTCGACAGTGGAATAAGAGATTCGACAAGTTCATGGAACACATAAGTTTCATTAGAAGTCAGTTCGACCATTGTGTTTACTCCAGATTTCGACCTGAAAATTCATTTGTTATTTTGTTGCTCTATGTTGATGATATTCTGATAGCAAGCAACAATGTCGAAGATGTTATGAGGGTGAAGGCTGAACTCAATAAGGAGTTCGACATGAAGGATCTGGGAGCTGCATCTAGGATTCTTGGAATTGACATTCGAAGAGATAGAAAGCAGTCGAAATTATGCTTATCTCAAGAGGCATACCTACGAAAGATTCTTGACAAGTTTGGTATGTCGAATTCAAAGCCTGTTGTGACTCCAACAAACCCTCAATTCAAGCTGAGCATTGATCAATGTCCCAGTACTGATGTCGAAAGAACCTATATGAACAACATCCCATATGCTAATATAGTTGGTTCTTTGATGTATGCTATGGTCTGTACTAGACCCGACATAGCATATGCAGTAAGTCTTGTAAGCAGGTACATGGCGAATCCTGGAAAGGCTCACTGGCAAGCGTTAAAGTGGATTCTAAGGTACATAAATGGGTCTCTGAACAGAGTCTTAATTTATGGTGGAGCCTTGGGTGAAGATAGTAAAGCAGCAGTCGAAGGCTATGTTGACTCTGATTATGCAGGATGTATGGATTCCAGGAAATCTATTTCTGGATATGTTTTCACTATGTTTGGTACAGCAATTAGTTGGAAAGCAACTCTTCAGAAGGTTGTTGCCTTATCAACTACTGAAGCAGAATATATTGCCTTAACTGAAGCTGTGAAAGAAGCATTGTGGCTTGAAGGTTTTGCGAAGGAGCTAAAACTTCAAGGTCAAGGTATCACTGTTAAATGTGATAGTCAAAGTGCAATACACCTGTCGAAGAACTCAGCCTATCATGAGCGAACCAAGCACATAGATGTGAGGCTGCATTTCGTCAGAGGGGTAATCGAGCGTGGAGAAGTCCAAGTGCTGAAGGTCTCGACAGATCACAATGCTGCTGATATGATCACCAAAACATTGCCAAGTTGCAAGTTTTTCCACTGTATGCAGTTGATAAAGCTGCATGAAGAAAGCTAGTTAGTGTCTCTTGATGCTGTAGAGTTAGGTCCAAGGTGGAGATTTGTGGGATTTTGGATCGAACTCTAGTTGGTCGAAGTACTTGCTGTAGTCGAAGAAGGTTCTAGCATGTATTTGTCGAAGGATGCTTGTCGAATTAGGTTTTAGTGTTTAAACCCTAATTTGTTAAGTTAGCTTGTTTGTTAAGTTAGCTTGTATAATGGGCCTTGTGGAAAAAGTCCATTAGTTAGTATGTTAGGTTTTATTATAAATAGCATACTAGTCTCTCATCATTGCCAACACAGCAAATCCTAATTTAGGGTGAGAGGGTTATTTGTTATTCTTGTAAACTTGTAATCTTGTTTTCAAAGAGAAAGTAAAGAATAGCAGTTATAACCAATTCTTGTGTTCTTCTTCTTCCTTGTTCTTTATTCTTCCCAAATACTATACTTTGTTATTGGCATTGAATTCACAACAGATATAAATGACCATCTCAACATTTTTACAATTAAGTAACTACATGCATGTAATTGTTCGCACTGTTTGCCAAGGCAAAATTCCTTTTTGCAAGATTCAGACTCAGGTCACAAAGTTGAATTGTTACATCATACCTTTCAGTTACAAGTTGCCCTCCATGTTATTATCTATTTCTATTGCATGTATAACTAAGAAAAAGAAAACTACTCACATATAAACTCTTAATTCAGATGTATATCTAATAGGTTAGATATAAAGCAGAAGGTTAGGTATATATACATAGAAAAAGAATATTAATCACATATAAAATCTTAATTAAGATGTGTATCTATTTCTAATTGAATATCATAGATAATTAAAAAAGATTCAGAAAATCACCACTTTTTCCTTCATTAATAGAACCATGGCCATTCATCTCTTCGTTTCTCTTAAGATGACTGCCTACTTGATTGAGAAACAGGTACAATAATTGATAAAGTTAACCTAACTAATACAATCAATGAGTTCACTGATGATGACATTCTGGATGAGGCGGACTCTATGCTAGATCCTGAGGCAAGTTCACACCTCAACTCATATGATGAGAATGATGGAGCAAGGGAACCAATGGAGAGACCAAAGGGATAGAGTGCAACTGACATATCAAATAGAGAAGAAACAGATGAACTGTAAATCTGGGATACCATAGGATGATCAAATCTACATGCAGATCCAAACTTATAAATTCCACACTGCGTATAATGAGTGCAAGATTGTTCCCCCTGATTAACAAAACAAAAGCATAAGATGCTTGATAAATGAGAATTTATGAATGTAATCAACAATCATTAACAAAATGGTACATACAACATACGAACTTTGAAAATCATGTAATTATCAATGTTGAACTGACATGGAAAATTCACCTACATAACATGAAATTCATAACTTAGGTCAATGCACAGGAAAATGTTTAAAGCATTATTTAAGCTTAGACAAAATTTAACAAAATGAATACATGACTAAATTGTTGCATGGAGACAAAAAGAAAAATGTATCATATGTCAAAATATACCATTCACAATAAAATGAACAACAATTAGAGACAACAAAATAAATAAGTTAATAAATATAGATATATACCTTTCGTGGCTAACTTCTTCTTCTCTTGCGTAAACTATAAGAGCAATTTCCAGCGATAACCCTCCAAAATATTTAAAAATTATAAACAATCAGATCAAAGATTAAGAGAAGTGGTGGTTTAACAGTTTGCCAAGTGAAACACAATTACCTTATAATCTTTTTATGGCGTGTCTAGTGTGCATAAGTGAGCATTTCAGTGTCATAATTTCCGATGACAATATTCAAATTAACCTTCTAAATCATTCAATAAGTACTCATATATATTGCAAAAAAGAAACATTTCTTAAATCATTGCTTCAAAGGCATTCGTATCATTATCTCTATACTTTTCCAACTTACTCTGTGAATGTAAATATATTATTTGATTGTTACAAAACTCTTGCAATAATGATCAAACATAATGCATTAATAACACGTAATCAATGTAACAATAACATTAATATCAAAAACTATGAAACAATAACCATTACTAATTATAACAAAAGAAAGTTCGCATCTTTTGACACAGCTGACGAACACTATCAACAAATATAAAGTAGATGAGGTGGTGTCACTAGAGTTCAACGTTAATGGCGGAAATGGATTCCTCCAAATACTCATACTCTTGAAGATACAATGGTTGCTTTCTCGGCGGATATCGCAGTAATGTTTGGTTATTCATCAATCTGAAACAAAATCTTCCTTCTTCTTTTTCAGCAATCAGTGGAATCTTCATTGAACATATCAAATAAAACAAATATATCAAAATCAACAATTTCAAAATGACAATCAAATTTAACTACATCTTCGAGGGATAAAATTGAACATTGTACAAAATTGAAAATAAAATCAGTGAAATCTTCATTGTAATACACAAACATTGTAATATTGGTGATTAATCAGAGACGAAGCAAAAGTTATTCTGCAAAGATTCGATGAAATGAGAGTGGATAATAAATAGATCTGAAATATGGAAGAAGAAACTAGAGTGAGTAAATGGAAGAAGATGAAATATGAAAGAAGATGGTAGAAGGAATGTACAAAAAGAATATTGGAATGAATGGAACGGAATTATGATGCTCATGTTCAGATTTATAATGCATTTTCATACTAATTGATGACCAACATGAGAAGTTGTGAGACGTTTTATTATCCACATTATTGATTTGATTTCTCAAAGTTTTCATGAAGTTTAACCGACTCAAAAGATTTAATAGAAAATAAAATTAAAATAAAATAAAATAAAAATTATAGTAAAAAAATATATGAATGACACATCAACAACATTTATTATTAAATAGATAATATTAAAGCAATAGTACAAATGAGCCGTTATAACTTTAGAATTAGAAAAATTAAAATATAAAGTTAGAATGGTATTAGTGGTTTTTCAAAATACTTTACCTTTTATATATTTATAATAGAGAATAGATATCCCCAAGCTATAAAATATCATGAATGACGGAGATACATTTAATTAAGTTTAGGAAAGAGACCCATCTTCTTCCTTGCAGTTACACTTGTGATACTCTAACCTCCAATCACTCATACCAAAATAAAAAAAATATGACTATATTATCTTCTCTTCAAATCACTACCGTCTCTCTTCACTCTTTCAATCCCTCATCAACTATCTTCCACAAATCCCTCCTTCCTGGTTTTGCAACTTTGCCATCTCTTTCACTCAATAGATTCGTCTTTTCCACTAGAAAATCTCGAACAACAACTACTATTACCACCCGTGCTTCTTTGCTCGAAACTCCTGTTCTATGGGTTGGTAGAATCTGCGTCTTCTATGCTCTTCTCAAGACTGGATTCGTTGGATCTCCTTCAAACCCCTTTCTCTCAGGTTTTACAAATTCTTTTTTTGGCATTCTTCTGATGCTGGGGTTAATTTCTTTTTATGGATCCTTATAAGTTAAGTTGGTTGTTTGGTTCAGATTTGGAAATTGGGAACGGTGATAGTAACGATTCTGGTGACTTAGGGTTCTTTAAATGGACACAAGGCATACTTGGAAAACCAGGTATACCATTGTAACTTGTTTACCCTTAACTCTTATTTATTTTGGACACAATCCGTGTTGATTATTTCAACTTGTTTTATTTGGTCAGCAAAGGAAGGAGCTAACGGAGGGAACCTTACGAGCAAATGGCATCCTACAACAAAGGGTACTCTAAGAAGGAACTACAGAATCCCATCCAAGTCTGAGGGGCGACGACTTCTTAAAGCCATTGCATCTCTGCTATCAGATGATGACCACTTTGTTGATGCCACTTCTCACAAGGTTTGCAATTTTCCTTTCTCTGTTTTTATAGCAAGTTACATTATTATAAACTGATGGCACTAACTAACCATTGCAGGGCTGCCAAATCCGGCGAGAAAGTGCACATGGAGAAAGTGTTTGTTGCAACAATGTGAGAGCTCTTTTTGATGAGCTACCAACTCCTCATCTCATTGTGGAGATCACACCTTTTCCGGCTGGACCTCTTAGTGACAAGGATTACACTAAAGCTGAGAAGCTTGAGAAGGTTCTCAGGTCTAGCCCTTCTGTTTGAGCCTTCATTGGTGTTTCTTGTTTTCATGTATATATTCTATGCTAGCTTGTAAATATTGGCATCATGAAGAGAAATTTGTATCAAATGTTTTACATTTGACTTGAATCGTAGTCACATCGTTCAAAGACAAATAACCTGTTACCTTTGTTTTGTAAAGGGCCTGTTCACCATAAATCGACCAAGGCAAACGAATGTCTTGTATAGAAGACATTGAATTGAACATTTAATTGCATCTCATAAACTCTTTTATAGAGTAAAAATATCACAAGAACTTATAAAAGAGCTACTAATAGACAATAAATAAGCACTTCAGAACACTTAATTCTCTCAAAGTTAATTTTATTCTAATGAGTTTAGTAAGTAACAACTATTCCGTCCGTCCTAAATTATATATAGCTCAAGATTGCAGTTAGGTTTATAGGAAAAAGAAGTGAAGTCACAATGCACTCACTTAAGTGTCAAGCACACTTATAGTAGCATCTTTTACGGTTCTTTAGTGCACTACGAGAAATTCTAAAAATACCCATAAAAATCTTAAATGTATTTTCAGTATGCATTTCACACATATAATTCATTTGTTTTTGAGATTTGCCTTATTTCACTATAAACTTTATTCTGAAAATGTACTTCTAGAAATACATTTATAATCTTCGGTCATTGATGATTTGGTGCCTTGATTATTCGTCGTAGACAATTGATCTGACCTGATCAGAAGGTTTGGACCGTCACGGCTTGCTCCGAGCTGAAGGCTTTTTGAACGAGGAGGGGGGGGGGGGGGGGGGGGGGGGGGGGGGGGGGGTACCTGCAAGGCACTCCGATGCTAAAGTCAGTGGGAGTACGAGCAGATAATAGAGTTGAGGTTAGAATGATGAATACCTGACCCTCTGGAAACAGAGGGTATTTATAGCCCCCAGCGCTGGGCCAAGGTTCCTTCATTGGGCCGGGCGGATTTGGCCCAATGGAGGAACTGCCAGGTTCTACGTGGGTAGTGGGGACCAGCACGTGGTCCCATTCCTGGATGTGCTGCATGAAGTGCGGGCGGACGAAGACGCGGTCTTTCCGGAGTATCGTTGGGGCAACGGTGGACTGAGTCTGCCCTAGCCGGGTAGCTCGAGCCCATGTCGAGCTGCGCAGCACGGTGCCGAGCTCGACGTCAAGACCTCGAGCTGAACAGCGAGTGTCGAGCTGGACGTCAGGACACAGAGCCGGACGGCAGGGTGTCGAGCATGACTTCACCGCGTGGGGCTGGACATCGAGATGTCGAGGTGGACATCAGGGTGTCGGGCATGGACGCGACCCCCTTTGCCCAGTGTGGTCCTGAGTGAGTCCCTTTGGACTGGGCCTTAGTAATGCTTTTGGGCCTGTCGGGCCCAGTCCAGAACAGGAGCCCCCCAAGTCGTGGTTCCTTTGCGAGGAGCCATGACTTGAAACCAAGTTGTTCCGTCGCTGAGGTCTCGTGCCCGGGATGGAGGTGTGGACCCTCGAGGGGTCTCCTCGTGTCGTGCTCGGGGACGTCCTCGGTGGTGGATGCGTGGAGGATCCGTACCGGGCGCGTCGGTCGAGCACACGAGGCATCTTTCGGGAGTTGTGCCGCCACCCTAGGGGGGTAGGGCCATCATTGCGTTGGGAGCAGTGCGTCGAGGAGATGGAGTTCGCTGGTTGCACGAGGTGACGTTTGGTATTCCACGTCATCACTATAAATAGGGTCCTTGGGCCCCATAATACGTTTTCCGTTCTCCGTGCTCTCTCCGTTGCCGCTCTCAACACTTTCTCCAGTTGTGACTTCCCGTCTCAGATTCTTCATTTCTTAGCCAAATCCCAACTTTGATCCAAGTAAGCGATCTACTTTCTTTATTTTTCCGTTTTAGAATGCATGATTCCTGGAATTTGTAGATGTTTTAGGATCGTGCGCGTGGGATTAGCCCGGTAGATTCGTGTTTTGCCCGACATATTCATGTATAGGACCGGCAAACGCATACTTGTGGCCGACACATTCATAGTTTTAGGTGAAAAACTTCAGAGCTGCCCGGGGTCTTCATGATCCGGGCGCCTAATTCATGACCGTGCCCGGTATGTTCATGGTCGTGGCCGTGGGCTTCATAGCGCGGCTCGCCATGTTCATACCTCGGGTCGACATGCTTGGAGAGTGGCCGCGCGGTTAGTTTGAGGAAGAACACGGGGTTCAGGAAAGTCGGGGAGACATCCACTTGAAAAAACGGACTTGTGTAGTTGTGTATGGACGACATGATTATGTCGAGCATAGGACTTCGTGCTCAACTGATTGGTTTCCCGTGCTCTGCAGGTAACCATGGCGGACGAGCCGAGCTCCTCCGGACGTCGTGATCGCGAAGAGCAGAGTGCCGACGAGTCGGCCACCTTGATAGATACCGTGACCGACCCATTGCTGGAATGGGTGGGTGTCGAGCCTCGGGGGACAGCGTCAATATATAGCCGGGATGACCGACATCCCTTCACTGCCATTGAAGAGGGCCAAGACCAGCCCGACTTCCAGCAGAATTTCGTGGTCATGCTTCCGTCGACCAATGCAAGAATTTGCTCGGTGTACCCGAACTACAGCTTCGCGATGTACGAGATCGCGTTTAAGGACTTAGGGCTGCGGCTGCCGTTCACCGATTTTCAAACCGGGGTCTTCACGCACTTGGAGCTGGCCCCGTCCCAGCTACACCCAAACTCTCTCGCCTTCATCCGGGCGTTTGAGCTGACGTGTCGCTACTTAAGGATAGGGGCGACCATCCCTCTTTTCTTTCGGGTATTTCACCTGCAGCGTCAGTCCCGAGGAGGGAAGCACAGCTGGGTGTCCCTGAAGCAGTCGAGGAGACTGTTCAAGATGTATATGGACTCCGTGAGGGGGTTCAAGGACAAGTGGTATGTGGTACGCCCTATTACCGACTCTGCTGTAGATTCCCTTTTCGAGGAGGAAGGGCCGGTCAGCGATGACGACGGGGAAGCGATGGTGGCCGACGACGGGAGCCCCGTGTTAGGTCGTAGGGCTAAGTTCCCGGTGTACTGGATGTCCCGACACTACGAGCATGGAACAGGTTATTTCCATACCGCAGTCGGGGATATGTGCACGGAAGATCAGCGGGCGTACGAGGCTCTTTGCCGGTTCGTCGACAGTTTTCATCCCGCCCAATGGGTTACGCGGGAAGGGAATGATATCCTCGACAAGGACGGTTACCCGACGTTCGAGTCTCGCCCGATCGACACCAAGGCGCTGGTGGAATGTCCGACATATAGGCAGGCAACCCGCCTGTTAGGTTGTTTGCTTGAAATTCTTTATGCGTCATTTATTTATGCAGTCTGCTCGATACTGACTTCTCCTTTATTTCGTGCAGGTTCGATGGCTAGCCGACACGAAAGGCTCCTGAAATTGTCAAACGACCAGAGGCGAGGCAGGAGGGTCGTGAAGCCCCCGCAGATGACGAGGATGGGACCACCCCAAAGCCCGACCGCTCCTCAGCCGGTGAGGGTCGACTCGACGTCGAGCTCGGGGCCCGCGTCAGATCCAGAGGTCGAGGAGATTGATCCCAGTGCTATTTTGACGCAGAGGAAGAGGACCCGCGTGGAAGGCGGTTCGAGTGTCGGGGAGGATGCCGGTGCTGTTCAATCTTTTGCCTTCCCCCCTTGCTTCGAAGAGGCGGGCTTTTTCGAGCGGTTCCCTCCGACAGTGGTCGCTCATGAAGCTGAAGCCATCAAGAAGATGAGTAAAGAGGAAAGGAAGGCCTATCTGGCCGCCAGCGTGGACGGGCTGGTTAAAATGGCCGAAATGGCTCTGGTGTTATCTGAGGATGCAGGGGATGCTGCTTGTGTTGAAGAGCTCGAGCAGGAGAAGGCGGCCTTGACTGCGAGCTCGAGGAAGTTGAAGGTCGCTCTGGAACGCTCCGAGGGGATGTTCCGAGAGCAGACCGCGATACTTGATGCCGAGAGGGAGATGCTGACTTTGGAAAAGGAGAAGTCGGGGAGGTTGACTGAGGAAGGGGAGTTGCTCCGGACCGACAGGGATCGCTTGGCTGCTGAGGTCGAACGCCTGGGTAAACAGGTTGAGGAAATGAATGTTGTCCTGCAACCTGCCGAAGATGAGCCCGAGGACCTAGTGATTTTGAAGAGTCGGGCTGAGCTTGTCGCCCATATCCGGCTCCTCGAGGCGGACTGCGTCGGTGCTCTGGAAGACGGGTTCAATTCTGCAGTCGATCAGCTCTCATTGCTAAACCCTGGCCTGGTCACCGAGGGTATCGGCCATACACACCGGGTTGTAGGTGGCGCGATCATTCCTCCGCCCGACTCTCCCAGCGTCGACAATGATGATAATGTGGAAGTTTGATATTTGTATTCTTTGGATAGCGGGCCTGCGTGCCCTTGATATTTGTATTCGTATTCTTTGGGCCTGCGTGCCCGTTTATTGTATGTTTTGAACACCGCCGGCCTTCTTGGTCGGTTTAATATTGCTTTGTTGCCTTCGGGCGTTTATACCTTGTTATTTATTTTGGATTTTTTGCCCTTGTTTGAGATCACATGCTTGTATGAAATTAGCCTAAGCCACGGGCCCGAGGAGTGCCCGTAGGTGGCTTTGATTTGGCGAGCGAATCTGCTCGTCTCCACTTGTATGCAATCTCGGCCCTATTTTGGTTGGCCGGGTTTGCCTAAGTGTTGCGCTCGAGGGGAGAGATTTTCTTTTGACCCTTGTAGATGTCCCGTTATTCTTGATGGAATGTCGGGCGTTTCGGAGTGAGGTTGCTCAGTCGGGCGTGGAGCCCGTAGGGACGATTCGCCCTTGGCGTGAACTGCCCATCGCGAGCTGGGTGTTCTGCCTTATGGGTACGACGACGGTGGGGCTCGGTACAGCTGTCCACGTCGGGCACTATCGATCGTCAACGTCTACCGCGCGATGCCGTGCCATTTTGGTCGTGTGTCGGGCCTGTACCTTAGCCTTAAACGAAATTGGACGTTTTTCCTCGTTGCCCGAGCGTGGTTGCTGCTGG